ATAATATATCATACTTTTATTTGAGCCATGTTAGTTGACATACTTTTCTTTTCGCTTATATTTTATTTAGTAGTAACCATAATATCATCATTCCTAATTAGATACAACAGCATTACATATTAAAATCTAAGGTAGGCTATTATATAAGGACTGCTTTTCTTGTCTTTTTCTTTTTTTCTTTAAATCAACTAAACAACTGATATTAATAAAAACCTATTTGCCTAAAAAACTTTTGCCATTTTTGTTCTTTTTTGTTTTAGAAATCAAAATGCATGGAAAAAGCACCCAAAAAATTAGAATAGTACCTTGATGTTGATCAGTTTTCCCTTCTATGCCACCATGACAAAGCTATTGTTCGACACCTTCATGAAGCTGAAATTATTCTAGAACTACTTTATAAAGCTGCAATCGGTCACCAATGCCATCTCATTCTAATCAATACTAATGATTTACATGCAGGTCTAGGTTCTGCTCTTCTTCTCGTGAAAGAAGTTATAGACATTCCAATAGATGTTCTAGGACACCTGACAGAAGTAATAGGAGTACTATTAAGACTTTTTTTTTTAATAAAGCTATTTATATACCGATAGATCTAATGGTTTATTTTGTAAATACTAGAGATCAGTTTTTTGAAGAAAGCAGTTTATTCGTTAATAAGCAAAGTTAAAGAACTAAAAAAAGCTTCCTGACCTCCAACTCCAAGCATACAAGAACAAGGTAACAATGTCTATAATTATTAAAGTGACAAAGGCATTAGAACCACTGGTACTACATGATTATTATTTTCACTAGAGGACTGTGGACTAACAGACCTTGAAAATGAAACAAATGATAATCATCCTACCAACAATGCCAGTAACAATTATTGAACCACCACAAACAACTATCAATATAGCAATACCATTACTGACAATGCTGGTAACAGTACCATTATTCCCCAAAATGGTACCAATAGTCCTAATAACATCACCAGCAATAGTCTTACCACTACTAATATTGCAACTACAACCACCACCACTGATATTGCATCTGCAACCACCACAGCAAATGCATCTACAACCACTGCATCAAACAAAGGTAAACAGAAGCAGCAAGCTGGTAGTAATAACAATAATAATCAGCAAAAACCATCAGTATCTCCAGAACCACCTACCAGTTACCAAAAAAGGTTACATAAAATCTTGAAAGAAATAGATGAAGTGCAATATAAATTGTTTCATGTATGTATCAGCATTTGAAAATCGAATTTATGTTAAAAGTAATTATAGAGCTATCAGTTTAATGAATATTTATTTTAATGTGCAGGATGAGGTGGTTCAAATAACAGATGGCCTTGACGAAAGGTTATGTATAGATTATACAAAAAATTGGAGTAAAAGAGCTCACTATGTGGCCACAAAAACTATGCCAGCAATCAGGAAGGCCCTAGAGAGCAATTTTAGGTATAAATTGAGTGAATTAAAATACATTCTAAAAAGCCTTCACTAACATCATTAGGAAAAATAGATAATCAATAATAATCCCAAAAGATTAGCGAAAAATAAAAAGAGGATAGGTGTAAATGATAGGTGTCAATTGGTATGTATAGGCCTATTCGTTTAATCAAAATAAGTTTTGGGCACTTTGCAAGTTGTTATATTTGTTTTATACAAAAATCCATTCTGATTACTACAAGCATCATTAATACAAATATAATAACTTGCAACAGTATAATAGGAATAAACTACTGATCAACTGATATTAATTATCATTATTCTAGAAATAAAATAGAAGAATCAAAGGCATACATCATATGCTTAATACCAAAGATAAAAATCTCACTGATCTTGCCTCTTCCATGATTTGGGGCGATTTTAAAAAAGACCTTGAAGATATTGTTAATGATGATGAATACTATTCAGATGAAATATCCAAAATCGATTATGAAAAATCACAAGCTGAACATCAAATGAAGATTTATCTGGAATCTAAAAATGAAAATGACTATTATGTGTTTTATGTGTACGATAAGCCTTGGAGATTACATAGAGTAAGCAATTGTTATTGTTATGGTTATTATAATTATAATTATATTAATTTACATTTTCTATTTCTTTATTCTA